GAGGGAGAGAATCCCCCCTCGGATATTCTAACTGGTGGATCTTATCAATCTCTAATGGTTAAAACATCCCATTAATTATTCTGCGAGACCTGTTATTTTTCAGTCCGCCCACCAAGCGACAGCTGCTGCTACTGATTTGTGAAACCAGAGTGGCAGTGCATTGAAATCTGATCCAATATGTGGTTTTCAGTGAAAATAACATGTCAAGAGAAATACAGAAGTCATAAAATGTGATATTCCAGCTGCATAACACTTGATTCACACAGGAGGATTTTCAACTCTGAACCTGAATCAAACATTTTGGAGATCATGACATATTTTACCAAACTAAATAATTTGCCGTTTGTAGGAAACAATTTCACGAAGGAGATTCCGGAGACTTGAGATCTCCAAGAAACTTGAGTAACTTCAGAAGCAAAACAAACATGGAGGGAGATTAACGTCCTGTTCTCTGTTTTGAAGCTAATGCTAAAAATATATAACAAGCTTTTGCAGTGTGAGCTGGAAACGTACACTTTAGATAGCATTAAGATTATATTGTAAACCTCAGTCGTATCAATTATTATTACACATTAATGATAAAAACATCTGTATTTGCTAAAGAGAGATGGACGCAGAGGATAGAGAATAGTGCAGCCCTCTAACACGTACACACGTCAATCCATCCATCATCCTTTGAAGATCCCGGCCAGAACCCTCTTTCAGCGCAAACCACACACAAAGAATGTTCTTTACACATTGATTTCAGTTTTTTATATTGATTAGAAAACCCAGCATGTTCTTGCAGCTCCCTTCTTCTCTGGACTGCTTTTATCGTGTGAGTGAGGACCTGTCAAGTGCTCTGACATGAGCATTGTGCTCGTTCTGAGGTGCAGGACAAAAGGCAGCGTTGATGGACTGAGCTGCAGACTGCGGGTTGCAGGAAGCTCTGTGTGGTGCATTAAACCAGTGATGGATGAAAGTTAAAGTTGATGTGGCCATTGTTACCTGTGCCAAGGTGCGATGAATCTGAGACTGTACAGCAGCTGCATAGCAAAGAGAACATCGGCAGGACTGGTTAGAGTCCTCCATCAGTGTCACAATGGATAAGGTATGTTCATCCACAACACACCTGTGAAGTCAGAAGCACTAAAGCCTGTATACTTATACCACTACTACTACAACTACTAATAATAATAATACAACTTTGTGGTGTTTATTGTACAAATAAAGTTTTTGTTCTGTTTCTGTTGGGAACAGATACAACAGCTAGATTTTTTGAAAAGATGGATATTCAAGGTGCAATAACAGTAAGAGGTCAGTGCACAGACTGTGTTGCTGTGTCCAACGGCGCCTGCTACTCGAGAACTTAAAACTCTGAGGGTGTAGTGGTTAATAAATACGCTCAGTCATGCATCACCTGCTCAGAAATAGCTGCAACAATCGCAGCGATGCAGAGCAACACGGCTCAATAATGCAGAAAAACCCTCTCCTTTAGAATTCACATTGTTGTCTTGATGGTGCAGCACCAGCTGAACGTCACAGATTGCACCACCGCAGAAATGTGATGTTGTGAGAGGAGATTTTTTTTTTGCTTATTGAGCTTTGCCTTTATTTCCCACTTATTCACTATCCATCGATTCAGCCTCTGCATCTGTGTGTTTACGCTTTTCTATAATTTCAATTGGCCGGCCGACATTAAACAGAATTAATAAGCAGCCGAGGCCGTCAGCGTTTTAATTGTGTTGCTCTCTCCTCCATCAGCTCGCGGCCATTAGCACACTGAATATTTAATGACGCAAACCTTCCTCTTGTACTGTACCGTTAATGTAGTATACTTTTCCTATCCCTTCTCATAAACTCTCATGCGTCCCAGCAGCTCTGTTGACATTCACCTCCACTTTATAGTTCAACACGGGGAGGAAATCCACAGGAAGAGAAAAGCTAAATAATTTCTCCCACTTGCTTCGGGGGCTCCGTGAGCACCACTCATTAATTAAGGGGGAATGCATTAGTCATGACTCCCACCAAAGCTTTTGCATATTAATGAGGAGTGTGTTATAGTGAGTGTGCACCTTCGGAGCGGTGGCAGCCTCGGGCCACGACCGGTACTATAAGAAACAGTTCACGGTTTGATATTAAAGAACAATACTTCAGCGTTGCAGCTGCATAATCAAAGGTTGTATTGTTCGTAATCATCCAAATTCATTCATCATTCTAATTGGTCTGCGTCCTAACCTGCTTGATGATGTCAGCAGCAAGTCTAAAAAACATGTGTGTTGCTCTGATGTTTGCAAACTGCAGAGATTCACAATTAGACAAGTTGTGATGACGCTTTTTTAAAAACATGTATGAATATAATTTCCCCTTTTCGCTAATGGCTCAATCCCACTTAAGCTGCGTTATGATGCCCTCAGGTCAACTGCAGATCAGCCTCATTAGGACCGTTCACTGTGGAGCCCATTAGTGGAACATGTAGTGGGTTACATCACGTGCACGTTGATCCTTGTGCCATAAACCTGCTGCAGAGCTGCGACCAACGGTCGACCTGAGAAACTAGAGCCGAGAGAAATTAGGCACTCATAGATTATTGATCATGTGCTAAACTTTCAAAAGGACGTTTATCAGTGATGGAGAAATTTATTTCACATCACAGGAGCAGAGATAAAAAAAAATGCTGGTTTGGTTGAATGTTCGGCTCATCACAGCTGGAAAACCACAAATAAAACTTGAATGGCGCCCAGCTCTCAGTCCCTGTACGTTCAATCAACTGTGAGAAACAAAACAAGGCTGATAATGAAATCAGACTCTCTTAACGGAAGAATGATAGGTTGAGAAAAAAATGAAAACAATAAATTAAAGGTTCAGGGTGTGAGATTTAGGTGGAAGGGATTTTTGGCGGGGGGGGGTGGGGGTCCTCTCTGTGGAGGCCGCCAAACTGGACAAACTAAAATCTTTTGAGTTTTCACAACAACTGAAGTTCACCACAGGTTCTCCTTCATGTTTGGAAGGGGAGGGTGAGATGAGGAGTATCCAGCTGCAACATGCAACTGCACCTCTAGATGTCACTAAAGTCTACACACTGAACCTTTAAAGCATTTGCCCGCTGTCAAACCAAATTTAAATTCAGTAGATCAGAGATTTTAATTTGAATCTGCACCAAATTGCAAAGACTTTTAAATTGTTGATTTTTGGTGGAAAATTTGTTCTGTAGTTTTTACGTTATCTGAGTAAAAACATTCCTTGGTGGACGTAATGAATGATTCAGGATAAGGCTCCTGCTCAGTCACACTGTGATGTCTCACTGAGACACTGTTAATGAGGCTTTTTATACTAAAACAACTCAAAATGTTAAAAATTGTGATGAATTTTGTGATTCATCATGGAAACAATGGATCCGTTCTACATGTACAGTTCAGATAACTTGGCGTAAACTGAATAAACTCTGTTTGCTGTGGTCTTTCCTCAAGCCTAAAGATACTTTGGGTTTATTGTGGATTAAAAGAAGAAGAGAAGGAAATATAGTGGAAACTCAATAAGCACTTCTTCAGTATTAGCATGCAGCTTGGATCTTACTTTAATTTGCACATCCATTGGTTCATTCATGGAGCAGATCAGTTGAGCTAAAATCTCACATTTGAAGTTTGATTCCCAACAAATCAGAGTTGGAACCTCAGCAGGGACAGGCTCAATATCTGGTTTTTGAACATTTAGATTTCTTCTTACATTTCGATATTGAGAGACGAACCAGTAAATCACTCCAGCACTTTCTTTCTGAAGGTCACGATTCATATATCGATCAGTGGAAACAAGAATTTTGCCACAGACGTACTTAGAGAAGTTTATATAGACGTTTACTTTGTTCACTGACTAAGAGTAGCTGTTTTAATTCCTGGTAAATACAAAGTTTTCAGTCTGCAGGTGAGTGTTTGATATCGAGACGTTTTTTTAGTGCAACATACTGCACCATAAACAGATGCAGTCGGCCATCAAAGTCTGAAAAGTAGTTTCAACCCGTGGCTAACATCTGGAGAGTGGAAGCTACATGTGAACGTTCCTGACGTTCACTCGTGGTTAATCACACTTTGTCTGCAGCAGTAAACATCATATTCCCTCTGGCCTCCAGCTGAGAGAGAACTATAAAAGTCAAGTTCATGACACCAGAACACAAAAGAGTGACCCTGGGCATAAAGCTGTGTGTTCCCCCCATGTTTGGAGAGTCAGCATTTCATGAATGAAAACTCCCGTCCACTCACCCGGCCAGCTTTTCTGTAATTAGTCCGTTTTATGGTCGTAGAATTTATATAGTCCATGAAGGACTGTGCAACTACTGCAGAGAGAAAAGACGAAAAAGCAAAGGTGCAAGGATGTGACGAGGCTGCAGTCATCCGCTGCGGAGACTCGCTCTGGTGCTGCGCTCGCTCGTATGCATCTCGTTGTTGTTGCGGATTTTTCTTTTGGTTGTTGTAACAGCTCTGTTGCCTGGGCCCCCCTGCGTACCTCCTGCCTACATCATGTGCATGACGTGTTACCTCACTGGGTGCAGTTCGTTCTCGTGTGTGTATTCACACCACCACTGTGTGTTACTGCTACACAAAGAGCACAAAGGAAAAAAGTGCATCGTCCTGGACAGTGAAACGAAAATGTAACAGCAGATCTTTCCCTCTGTTTTTGTGGAGAACCGCACGTCACGCTCAGAAAAGAGGCAAAACACCGTAAACTCTAGATGTCGCATCATTTGATCGGCTTCTCCAACCTGGCCGACACAGTCGCTGCCAAAATCGATCGGAGCTCTGTCACCTACATTATCCATGTTTAGATGTGATATAATGATAGAAGTGTCGTCCGTCACTCACATTGTGATACAGAGCAACATAACTTTTCTCGTGCTGTCTGTCACAATCATAAAATCCTTCTGGTGGTGTCTGCGAGCTGGGTGGGGCGGGTTCCCCACATACGGAGGTTTGAGTCCTGTAGCAGCCGCTGGTTCAGGTCCAACCCTTTGCTCTTCTCTCCCTCAGAGCATGACGAGTGCGCCAGCAGCCAGAATTTGTGTGATGAGAACGCCATCTGCACCAACACCATCAGAGGACACCTGTGTACCTGCAAGCCGGGCTACGTGGGCAACGGCACCATCTGCAGAGGTAAGCTCCTGCCCGGGGAACGGCCCTGGAGGTTTGACCGTCAGATACGGACCCAGACCTTCCCCCACATCCTGATTGTGGCCGGATCTCTGCTCCGTAACACCACGGTTCACTCCGCCTTCACATCAGCTAACCAGGCAGCAGCTGCCTCACAGATAATGAAAATTAATTCTGCACCAGTTTCAGCTCCTCTCGCTCACCTTGCTCCCTGCTGACCTGTTACTCCACCCAGGTGCCTCAACCCATTGGCCGTATCATACAAATATTTTTGTGCAGTGTGTGCATGTATTGCCGTGAACACACTGCTGCACCGGCCTTAGCTATATGCACTTTAAAAGCTACGACGGTAGACACTGGATAACATGCAGTGAAGGCAGAAAGGGACACGACAGCAGCAAAACAGGCTGATGTCTGACCCCACTTCAGATATTATTCCACCGAGAGAGAATGTAAGTGTGTAGTTTTTGCCAGGAGAGACGCCCTGTGGCTCCAAAATCACTGGGCAGAAAACCACAGACCTCAGGAGACACTTTAAGGCACCACACAGAGGCTGATGTAACCCAGCATCAAGCTGTTGAATCATTTGTACTCTACTTTTAAAGATTTTAGCACTTCACTGTATTACAGGCAGATGGGGATTTGGTTTCTCTACATTGTCCAATTTCTTTGCTTCAGACAGGTTAGTTTGTTTTGGTGCTTTAAAAATGTTGAAGCACACAAAATGTAATTGGCTTTGTACTTATCTGTGGCCTCTGTTAGTTATTAAAATATACAGGGAAGTTAGTGTGATTTTCTTAGTCTGGTTTGTGTGTAAAGAAGTTCCAAATATATTCAAATTTATTTCACACAATTCAGTAGAACACGTCCTCCAGGGTCTGCAAATTACAGAGATTAAATTAAATCAACCAAATCAATCCATTCTAGCGCTTCAGGACAAAACTGAATATTATGAAGGGCTGTGATACAAGGTCTGTATTTATCGTGAAAGGTTTTCTTTTGACTTTCTGATTGACTCATATTTCAAAGCACAGATTGTGTTGGATTTGCTGATTTTGTTGCAGACTTTAATTTACTTTTTGTTATTGTCGTTTGGTTGAAATCTTATTTTTAAGCAGTTTGCTGAGGTTTGACTAAAACACTCGGTGCCGGACTAGAACTGGAGTGGAAGTTTGTTTTACTTTGACGAACTTGGACCAAATATAACTGACTAATCTCGAGACTAAGACTAAATTTAAAATTAACTGACAAAACAAAACTTCATAATTAAAATGCTGTTCAAGCTCTAGTTATGCACTGTGGCTGTTTTTTTTAAACACAAAGTCAGCATAAAGATCCAATATCTTAATTAAAAAAATTATTCATTTATTTATTTGATTTATTTGACGTTAACATAACGTAAACCACAATAACCCAGTGATTAGAAATTACCTGATATTACTTCTGTCATAGTTTTAACTTCCCTTTGTCTGAACCACGTTTGGTGTTGAGTGTAGAACGTTTTAAATATTCTGCTGTAAATGATCAACACTGACACTTACTGCCTGTTTTCAGTCGCCGGTCACAATCAATGCTAATGTGTTGCCCATAAACACTGGCTCTTGGCCAGAATCAGCCATTTTTATTGGTCTGCCAATTCAGAAATGGCATTTTTAATAAACTCTGTGAGCCCAACAGCAGTCAATGGTCTTCATAACAATGAGTTACTGCGTTTTTATGACCCCAAAATGATTTCCCGTTTGTGGAGCTGCACCGTGCTCACCGTGCTTAACAACTCTCTTATCGAACCGAACAAAGAATTGAGAATGAAAAAATCATTAAATGATATTTATGTTTTTTTCCAGTTTACATGGGAAGTAAATTGGGAGCATGCAGGGGTTTGTTTGTTTATCAGTTGCGGTCCTGTAATGTGAGTGGATCTTTGTGTTGCTTGTGCCCTCGGAGGCTCTGAGGTGTGAGTGCACGCATTGTACAGGGCGACCTCTGGTTTTAGACTCTTACCGTCCATGTGTCCACTCAACCGTGAGCTGCGTGAACTATTTTTAACTGGGAGTTTGCTCTGAAGGCTCCCGCAGTGGGACAGTCGCTGTAGGTTCACGGCAGATGAAACAGGACAGTCAATTATATAGGCCCTTATGGAGTGTGAGGACACTCGTTAGGAGGGTTGGCAGCGTGCAGAGAGAGAAAGTACACTACACGTCAAGTCTTTAAGTAACCGGAAAAGTCTCCGGAGATACTGTATCAGCAGAGATTGATTTATAGCATTGTTGATAGAGTTAGTTATTTAGGAATCAGGGGGAATACAGACTGATGTCTTATTCAATTTTTTTTATAATTTTCACAAGCAAAGAATTCAAATCTTCAGGTTGCCATTTAGCCAAACCATTTATACTTCACCATATATGCCGTATATGTGATAGATATTGTTTGTTTTTTTAAAGCATTTTGAGTATTTGAAAGTTCACTGTGTAGGATTTAGTGGTGAAGTTGCAGCTGAACACCCGTCATCCTCATCCTCCCTTCCAAATATGGAAAATACCTTAAGCCTTAAATTTTCATGAAAACTCAAAAGGTGTTTAGTTTGTCCAGTTTGGAGGGCTGGAAAAAAAACATGGCGGCTTCCGTTGAGATGTAAATATAGTATTTAAATATAAAGAGCCCATTCTAGGGTAAAGAAACAACAATTCATACAATAAGATGATTACACACTTTATAAAACATCACTAGGATTATTCTATAGAACATTTCTGCCAGTAGTTTCCTTTCACCTGAATCTTACACAATGGACTTTTAAGTTTTATTTATTTCCCAACATTGTATTTGTTTCTGCCGAGGACCTTATGTTTTCTTTGTTAATCTGTCTGTCAGTGTCAGTAGTTGCAGTGCAGTTGAAACTATGAGGTGTGACTGTCTGCGTGGACAATAACAACTTTATGATCAAGCACTTAAGCAATAAGCAAATGGAAGATAGCACAAGGTTGTGCAATTCTGAAATGGAGCAAAACACCAACATAGAAATTGAGAAGAAGTGTCAAAACATTTTTGGCACATTATGAAACTGTGGCAGGACGAATTAGAAAATTGTCGGCGCAACACTTTAGATCATTAACAGGAAACTCTGTTTTAACGCAGTGACAAGGGAATCACACATTGTCTCATGTGACGGTAATATTTCTTAAACTGAATTTTGGTAGTGATATAAAAAAAGACCTGCCCAGACGGTTGTTAGTCTTTTGTTTTTGTTGGTTCTCTGATTGTGATAAAGTAGGTGCTCCACTGGAGTTCCATTCTTCTTTCCATTTGTATTTGTCTTTACATCCAAAAGATGAGAAATCAACGAGACTGATAAACTCGTGCTTGGTTTGTAGATAAAAAGATCCCATGAGTTTGTTTAAAGCTTTTTCATGTAATTTCTATCAGTCTCTGCTTATGCCTGGCTGCTGGCCAACAGATGATAAGAGAACCATTAAGCTTAATTAGGCTTTAATTTTCCAAACTACTTAAACACCATTTCGATTAGATTGAGGCAAAATAAGTTGCATCATGGGATATTAGGCACAGTAAGGACCAGATGACACCTCCCAGTGCAGGTGCCTCCAACACACAGCACCTGCAGCGGTGCAAGACGTCAACCCCTGAACAAAACGTCTTTTTTAAATTCAAATCTAAAAACAAAATCCGCTCCGACGATCGATGGACCAGGATCCTCCTTTTGAGATATTTTTGATCATCTTTCAATTTCTTTAACGGACGTCAAATCAAAATACGGAGGATTCTGACCCTGCTGCCACGTTCCACCGTGTTTTCTCACTCATTAAGTCGTGTCCTGTATCTGCACAGCTGCTCATGAGCGTGGCGACTAATAATGTTGTAATTAGACGGACAGGACGGGGGAGGGGGGGCCAAGCATGTCGGACATACCAATTATTAGCAAGGGAAAGTGTGTCATATGCTACTGCAGGTGCACATGTGTTCATGTGTGAGTGGAGCGCTAACGCAGGACAGTTAATGAAAGTGAGACACAAGTTAAAAGCAAAGATGGAGAGAAGCAGAAAATGACGGAGGAAGGAAAAAGAAGTAGTTCTCTGCAGCTGCTCTTATCCTGTAACACAGACATCAGGATGGTCGGCGGTTGGGAGGCAGATTTAGAGAGAGGTCGATGCAATTTGCAAAGTGGCGTCTGAACAATGTCGGCCTTGTATTTTCTCCAGGCACAGAAACACTCATGCAGACAGAATACAACCGGACTGAAGTGCTACCTCCACTCATTTGTCATGCACAATGTCAACAGTCCATCTCAGACTGCAGTGCATTGATCAAATCAGTGTCTGGATTCTCTTAAAATAAAGAAAAAAGACCGAAGTGAAGTCATTGATTTTGGGACAGAATGTGAGGACTGGAACTCGTGATACCAGTGAATCAAAGGGAATCAAATGTGAAATCAGCCTTTTGTTACTTAAGAAATCACAAACTGTACCTCATCGATAATGCTACAGCAAAAAAAGCTGTATTACCCATTCAAAACCTCACACAATGGCATCGGATCTAGTTTATAATCCATTTTAAAATCCACTTTTTAAAGGTTGAGTGTGTAAGATTTAGGTGAAAGGGATCGTTTGGCAGAATATAAAATAATCCTAGTGATGTTTTCACTAGTGTGTTTCATCTAAATTGTCCTAATTGTTGTTTTCTTTACCGTAGAATGTGCCCTTTATATTTTAAATACTTTCTATTGTATTTTTTTTTATTGCAGATCGAGTTTATATTGTGAATTTAAATGTGGGGACTGCTGGGTGCCAATTCAGTGGAGACATGTCATCCGTCCTTATATTGTCATAGATTTAATCGCAAATTTAAACGATTGCCTAAAACATGAGTTCATGCAGTGATAATAAGTGAAAATCTGAAATCTACCCCAAACCATCCTCAGACTGAAAGTACAGACAGTAAGTGGTTAGACATGTCCACAAAAGTTTGGCCTTGTTGTGTATTTAATGTAAATT